GTACCGGAGAAACGCTCAGCAGTCCCATACCGAATTTCCCCAATCGAGGAGGACCCGATGCTCCGCTGATCCGGAATTCGGAATCTCCAGCTTCAAGCAACGGAGAAATCGGAAGAGGCTGTCCGCGACACTCGGCGAGTCTGTTCGAAGCCTTCTTAGATTACAGCGTTGCCGCGGATTTTTTTTTTTGTTTCTCCGACTGCGTACGAAGCGTCGAAAGGAAGTCGTTCCCTCGTGTAGACCGCCCCCCGTGTAGACTGCGCCGCGGCGGGAAAGGCGTCGACGACGATTGCAGCGGAGACAGCCACGGTATTTAAATAGCTCACTGTCCGCAGCACGGGCGGCAATTAAGCGCTTTTGATGGCAGACATTTCTCTCCTCGGAGGAGACCCTTTTCTCCCGTCGTTATCTTTCGGCGGGAGGCCTTGTGAACGGGACAGGTGAGGAGCGGGAGGTGCGGGAAAGAAACGAGGTGAGGGCGAGTGGCGGGGAAAAGAAAGTGAAAACTCCGCGCAGACATCGGAGCAGGGAGTCGAAATCAGAGAGGATCGGCAGACATAAAAGAACAACTACTGCAAAGAGAATTGTAAATAGCACCCGTTCTGACTCGATCTCACTCCGGTCTTCTTGAACTCGGGAGGAGAAATGTCAACACTGCTCTCTCCTGATAGGCTGACTTGTATGCATCGGACCGGAGCGCAGAACGTGAATTTCCCTCGGCTTCACACCAATGAATTATCCGGGAATTCCGCGATGTCGTCTCGTCCGCCCTCTGTCTCAGCGCCGCTTCCCGAAACAACACGTAGACTGGAGCACACATGTTGGCTTTTATTCTACGTGATCTCCGATTCAGAGGGAGAGAGTTGGGGAACATAGCTGCATAAAGCTCCGCGATAGATGGAAGGCAGCATACCGATGATGTCGACATCTAAGCCACCTTACCAATCAAGTCCTCCGCGAGTTCAGCGAGCCGGAAGCTGCTAAGAACCGGCCGGCCAACAGGCTTCCTCTGTTTCGCTTGCTGGTGGTGGTGAGGTGTCTCGGTGAGGCGATCCCCTCCAACTCGTCTCGCATCGCTCCCCACCGACAACCACCGACAGACTAAGGAGCTGTGTGCCACAAGGTGCCAAAGCAAGCCGTGATTAAGGTTTGCCAGTCTCGCTGGACGAGTGCTCGGCCAAACGGCCCAGCTGACTGAGTAACCGAAAAGCAAGGAGACCGATCGGAGGAGCGAAGCCTCGCTCGTCAGGTGTCCCCTCGGGGCCGGACTCCCGAGCAGCTGAAATGATTCGACTCAGGTTCGGGATTTCCGTCGAAGATCCAGCCATAGATCGTTGACTGAGCTGGTGGTAAACTCAGACAAGCTGTACATTGTTCGATTCTGGTCTCGATGGGTTTCTCTCTCTTCTGGGGACCTTTAGCCAGTCAGTGTTCTGACTCTGACCGAGGAAAACGTCGATCCCCGGTAGACCTGGAGGATTACTCGATGATGAATCGGGAGGGTTTCCGGGGCCGAAGGCCGTGACGTAAGGAGGATCCCCAGCGAGCACAGCAAAATCCCTTGTTGAGCATCAGCAACGGCGTATGGAGCTCCGCATGCTCGCCATACGGTGAATAATTGCGCAGATTAATGAGGAACTCGCTTAGCCGGCTTGATCCTCGAGCGAGCTGCCTGGACGATCAGGCTCCGCTTCATATACCCACTCACCGCATCCACAAACATTTACGCCGCCAGGCGACCTGCTCCGGAGGTGAATTGACCGATTAATCGACCACAGACATGCGGTAGGTACGTAGTATGGAAACAACGACGTTCACGATGTCGTCATGTCGAAACGCGAATAATAATTCGTTGAAGAGGCCTGTCCTCTCTCGATGGTCCAACCGGGAATCGACATCCGCAGACGGATGAAATGATCCGCGTAAAAACTCTCGAACTAAATGCCGAGGAGTCTGAATCTAAGAGCTGACTGTTTTGACAAGTCGGGGTCCGCTCCGTGGAGCTCGCCCCCGTTGATTTCATGGTTGTGTTTCAAGTTGGGTCGGAGAATTCGGGATTCGGTCTCTTGTTCGCTAGCCAGCCGTCCGCAATTTAGTTCTTCCATCCTCAGCTATTCCGCCTTCGTCGGGCGAGGTTCCCCGCTCCTACTCATGACGTCGTTTATGATATATTCGATACTTCATCGATCCGAGTTTTTTCCCTTAGAGCTAGGCGGTGGCCCTCCATTGAGAGTTCGCAAGACGCCGGATGGTGGAACAAAGTTGACTCAACGAGCCCTTGACCGTCCGGTGAGACCCCGTCCCAGAGATGCTCGAAGACCACCACCGTTCCTCGCTCTGAACGCAGGAAGCGGTGACGGACGCGGTGGGCACGCGGTGACGCTGAGAGGTAGGACACGGGCCATATTGACATGAAAATACCCCGTTCCCAACGGCTGCTTTTTGCCCAGAGGGCGTCGACGATAGTAGATAACATCTTCGTCTTGTCACGTTACAGTACGTGCAGGCCATGATTCGCACATTTGCACAGAAGCGACGAACAACGGCCAGCGACCGGAAGACGAGCGAGCGAATGGGGGAACGCGGACAGATCACGGCCAATAGCAGCAGATGTGGACAACTGCTTTTTCAACGGAAGTTTCTTCCCTCGGCTGGCTTTACGTGGTTGTGTAAAAGAAACAAATCGTTGGCCACCCGGAGTCTTTCGGTCCGCTAACGAGGAGATATCGCCTGGATTAAAGCTGTCCACGCTTAGTCCGTCTTGTTGGCCGCGCCAGCCCACAGCGACGATGGCGTCGGTCACCTACGAGAAAAGCGGCAGTCTCCGGAATGACGAGGGCTCTCCGACAGCGTTCGGCAGCTTTCCCGTCTCACCGTTCCCGTGCTTGTTTCCATTCTGTGAGAGCTCAGTAGACGAGAAACTCGAGTCAAACGTGCCGATTGCGAATTCCACTGTCGAACACGTCTTCTTCCCCGGTCATCCAGGCTTAATGATGAACCGATCGCCTTCGACTTTTCGGATGAGCCGAATTGGGTGAAACAACCGGGTCGAGGAGGCTTGGGTTCGCTCCGAGACAGTAAACGCACTTCACTGTATGTTATGTCGCTGATTTTTTTTTTCGACTAGGTAATTCGAAGGAGTGGCATGAATTCGCGTCAGGATTTTATTCGTCTCCATCATCATCTCATTGGACTTCACACCTGTGAGACTTTGATCACTTCATTAATGAAGACGGCGACTTGAGTATATGCACATATCGTGAAAATGTATTTACATCCAGGGTTCGGCGGCTGAGCGAGCGAGGAACCAGGGGCCGAGCAGTCTGGCGGACGGACGCGCATAGGGCAAGAGCCTCAATTTGTCAGAGCAGCTCGCTGCAAGATGACAGTATCGTGATAAATATGTCCCTCGCAGCTCACAACAGGCGAACTTCCGTATTCTCTTACCCGGTGTTGCCCTTTCAATCTCGCCCGATCCAGCGTTGCGCAGTTCCCCATCGAACCGTTTGCTCGACGAATCTTCAATGATCGCAGGACTTGCGAGAGATGGGAGTCAAAGGATTCGCGACTCGACGGCTCGAGCACAAAATCAGAGGCGGAGAGAAAATCGTTTTCAGCCTCTTGGTTGCCGAGTATTTCCGTGGCGAGAGCTCAAATCCGGTTGTGTTAAAATACGGCTCAGGTTGACCAGGGCTCCCGAATAACGAGCAATGAGAGCCGAGGAATCCACAAAGCTCTTGCTGCACCGATGGACTGTCGAGAACCAGCCGAGGGGAGCCAGTGGCGATCAAGGGGACTGACTCCGAGAGATCAGAGAACCGAAAGATCGAGGAGCTGACCGATTTCCCGTGCGAAAACTCTGCGAGTAGTTCGAGGATCATTGAAACACTGGATCTTTCAAGGCTCATCGAAGCCAGGAACTGCTTTCGTGCTCACCGTAGCAAACGAGCAATCGACAGATCTGACGGACGGGACAGACGCACCGACCATGGCAACGATTTTAATTAGGCATGGAACAGTGATTTCTTCTTTCCAAATTTCGTTCTAATTGGGAGAGAATTCGCTGCGCTCGCTCGGTGTCAACGAATTGAAGAGACGACGAAATGTTCCGATGAGTCCGCTTCGTTTGTTCCACGGTCACCGAGTTTCTTCTCTGTCGTCGTCGTTGACGTCGTCGTCGTCGCTTTGACCAGAGGAAGCACGCCAGCAAACGAAGCGACGGACGGATGGTGGCGAGCCGCCCGTCCGTTAGTCCGCCACTCGTCCAGTCCGCCCATCTGTGTCTCTGGTTGTCTTTCTGTGCGGCACCGACGGTGGCGGCGGCGGCGCCGACTCGGTCCATAGTGAGCTAACCCAATAAGGTGCCTGGGGAAATCGTGAATACACAGCTGTTTCCCGAAAAGAAGACATCGCCGCGACTTTCTCTGCGAGTGAACCGACAGGAGGCGGGCGAGCTTCTTAAGCATCTCCTGAGACTCCTAACAAGCTGATTGCATGCCTCCCTACGCGTCGGTCGGGACGTCTGCTCGCTCGTCTCTGCGTATGTCGGGGCGCTTTGTTTTGACAACTAAGTCGTTGGATTGTGGCGTCGATCATCGACGCATCCTTCAGAAAACGTCCCGATCCTGCGCGTGTTCTTTTTTTTTCTTTATCGTCGCGTTGCGATTGCGCGTACATCCCCGCACCGAGAGGTCCTCGGTGTCGACCCGGCCTACCACCCAGGATGACGCCCCTCGATGATCTTCGTTGACAAAGGGAAGAAGAATGAAGGAATAAAGGGCTTCAAGGTCACCCGCGAAAATCCTGAACCCAGATTCAAAGAAATGAGACTGAGCTCTCTAGGTCAAAACATTTTCACGTGATTGGGACGTTCCTGCGGACTTTGCGGTATTTTTTTGGGGACTCCTCACTACGGTTCGTAGGAGGCCGTGAAATTCAGCGAAATCCGCCGCGAGTCCATGGAATGGGCAGCACAAAGTCAAGTATCTTTCAGTACTCACTTATTCGTGCGGCGGGTGCTGCGCCGTAAGGGCCATCTGTAAGAGAAAAATTAACAAATTAGAGCGAACTTCTTGAAATGAGGCCAGCGTTCGACGCGTCAGAAATCTTTCCGCGTCGTTTCCGAAGAACCCGTGGGAGCCCAGAACCCCTCCACCGTTTTCTCTAATGAGGCTGCACCATCACTTCGGAAACACCGCACATGCATCTGATCCCGATCCTGATGACTAGGTCGAAATGATGTCACGAACGATTGTCGAGCACGAAACAGACTAAAGCGAACGACCACCATAAGGTAAGGCGTTCGAGATTTTCAGTCTTGCCCAGAAGGAACGGAATACCGAGCGAGGATATTTTTGGCTCGTTGTCGTTCTCGCTGTCGCCGTCGTCGTCGACGCTTTCGCAGATGCGTCTGGCAGCAGCGAAGGTTGTCACTACCAGCGGCCAACGTTCACATTGGATGGGAGGCAAGTGGGAGAAACGAAAAAAGCAGGGGTTGCATAAAAAGTTACAAATAATTAAGAAACTTCCCCGCTTCCCTCCTCCGCGTCGTTTTCCTAGGGAGCTCAACGCCGCGCCGTCTGGCCGCGAGCCGGGTTCAACGAGCTCCTCTTCTTGGTCGCGCGAGTTCCGTTCCGAAAGTAAGACATACATATGTATACTCTCCAGGATAGCGCGGGAAATTCAGGAAACGTACGCTCACTCGGAACACTTTCCCGACGGGGTCTCCCCCGTTGAGAGGGACCGAAAAGTTTCAGACAAGAAGGCCAGAAAATTTCGGAATGTCGGGATCACGAACGGAATTTCCCAAACCCTGCGGGACAAACTCAAATTCTACTGCTCGTCGTCTGACCCGATCCGCGAGAGTTCCCAGAGTTCCACTCATTCGACTTTACGGGGGAGGCGCGACGGACCGCTGGAAGATCATCGATTTCGATCTCCTCTATTTGGAGGATTGTCCAGAATTGATCGATATCGGTTTTTTTCTCGATGGAGCGTCTCTCCTTCATCCTGGCGGGATGAATCAACAACACGATTGAATGGACCGGTCCGATGAAACATTTAGGGAGACTTGTCATGGAAATCGGGGAGGACAGGGCTGTTGTGGTCGGCAGTTTGATGCGGCCTACGGAGATGGAGACTATCCTTCAACGAGGATTTAGGTTCTCTTGATTTATGGGATGTCAAGCCCGGTCCTGTGCTCCTGGATAGCAGCGCTAGTAGGTGGCAGTGGTAGTAGTAGCGGAAGGAGTAGCAGCGGCAGCAGCTCCGGGAGGACCATTAAAGTTTCTTCCTCGCTTTGAATCATTCTCCGTTGTCTCCCTTCCCTGCGCGTTTTAGTAGAAAGAGCTCTTTCCGACTCTATCGTTCAAAGTTTTGAAGGCTTATATTTCATTGGTTAGAGGTACGCAACCCTTCTTTATTTTTTTTCCTCCGAAGAGGAAACTTTCGATTTCCCCTAGCACGATCATCGAATAGTCCCGTCGTGGATCTTCCTTGGGCATTGGTTCCTTCCGGGAATGTCCTCTCTCCGGCAGACGTCAAGCGAGAAACCTAACTGAATTTAAGTGAGACGGAAGCGAAGCTCGAGCTTTTCCCGTCCGCCCAAATGGCAAACTCCAAGAATGGATATGGGTGAATGAGAGACTATGACTTGGGTCTAGTTGTCGGACCCGGGAAGCCGCATCGCATCGATAAAGAGCCAATCGAAAAAAAATCCAGTTTCCGGGAGCGAGATCGGGACAGCGACAATAGCTGGTCAAACAGACATGAGCGATAAGAAAGAGGACGAATGCGGCGAAACAATGTGAGCGAATGAGCGTAATAAAAAAAGAAACGGGAGGAATCGTGGGGAGCCGAGACACGGGGATGGGCGCGAAGTTCGCAGCCGAGAACTGCGAGATAGAAAGCTGATTAAAAATGTATCGTTTTTATGCAAATTCGTCGGACTGGCACCAGCCAACCGAGCGGCCGACCGACCGACCAACCAGTTTGGCCAGGGTGCCGGCCAGCCTGGGCAACGCAGCCTTAATCTGGCATGAGGATTTTTATTCCTTCTCCTTGTCTTATACACTCAGCTGTATCCACCCACTGTCTGTGTTTCGCTTTCTGTTCCGCCTTTTTGGACAGTTTCCTCCGCCCAACCTTTCCAGCTCAAGTTCGCGAGCGATGAGGAAATCGGGTAATTAGGGAAGATCTCCCCCCCCCCATTAGAGCTCCCGGTAGTTGTTATGAGACAAGAACAGCTCAGATTGATCCAGTTATCCACCTTCCGGAGAATCTGAGATCGATTGCGATATTCTTCGAGGATGTTTTGTTCAGCCTTGGTTTCGGAAAACTCTCTATCCTCGATTTGCGTTTTTCTTGCCCCAGGACCTTCACAGAGGTCCGAACTGAGGCTCTGATCCTGAGGAATTCATACGTCTCACGAATTCTGTGGGGTGAACAGCTACGAGAAGATCTTAGGTTCCCACTTTCCGAGGTGTTTCAACCCAGGCTCGGGAAATCCTCTTCTCGAACATCTTCAGCTGGTCAGGGTATCGATTCTCCTCTCCCAAGCTCTGTTCAACCTTTCGAATGGGGACGTATTGTTGAGGGAGCGGATCTGCCGTGGCTTTATTCCTATTGCCACCTAGTCTGCGCCCCGGTGGACTGCGAGCGGGAGTGGACAAAATCTGGTGAAATCAGTGGCTCTTCTTCTATTCCTCACAGGCCGCCTGTCTGTCCCGCCGTCTGCCGAGCAGCGAGCGGCTGAGTGAGCAAGCAAGCGGTGTCTCTTGAGACTCGGAGGCCAATCGGCCACAGCAAGGTAATTGCCCGGATTAAGTGTAGCCTAGCTCGGTCCGAGAGAAGATCGTTAATCGTAACTCCTCGAGCCTCGTCGCTTCTGTTGCGGCCACTGTGAGTCTCGTTGTTGCCGCCGCCGCCAAAGAAGGCGATAGGAGTGGTCGTGATGGCTATGGTGGTCTTGTCCCGACCGACTACTGACTCACCAGTGAGAGGACGTCACTCCGTTGGCCGCTCGGCACTCAAACAAAATTGCTCGTTCGGCCTGTTTCCAGCTCTCTGCCGACGGACGTAGAAAACAAGAATTTTTCTTCGGTCAGCTGCTCTGCTTGCTCGACCGCCAGTCCGCCACCACCTGCTGCTGCTGCTGCTGCAGATGTCGGCGGTTTTTTCTTTTCTATAATGGCCCTATTCTCTGCAGCGACTTCTCGAGTAGGTTGCTTTCGAAATGAAGACAGATGCGAGTCAGTTGGCCAGATAGTCCTCTTTCGTTGCGGCTACTAGATCCGCCGCTACCGCCGTCGACGTCTCGAGGGACTCTCTCGCGGCTCCTACTGACCGCACATATATTTCGATTGACGTCGTCTTCGACTACTCAGCCATCCGCGACCGGGAAGAGACTCACGGCGAGTCACAAAAAAAAGGGGACGACACTCACAATGAGCGTTGCAGAAACATAGAGGCCTCTGATATGAACACTTTGCGGAAAGCTTTCCGTTCACGAAGCGGGAACGCAGAGATTTACCACGAAGCGTTCCGAACCTCCACCACCATGAACCCTCGCGATCGATACTGCTCTCGGAGCTCGGTGTGCGGACTCTCCGGTCAGCCGAGAAGTTCCGGAACGGAGTCCGGGATCCGACAATTTGTAAGGCGATATTGACGGATGGAAAAATTAAAATGAAGCGTTCGCGTTTACCGATGCTCTTGCGAAGCCGAGTACACTCTGCTCAGAGGCTCCGCGCGGAGAGTCGCCCTGGAGTTATCTCCAGAATTATCTTCCATCAAGTGTCTCCGTCCCGAATTCCCGTGGCTTTGTGTGCGATGAGAGCCCGCTTCGTGAAACAAATCTTCCGGACATGGATGGCGGTTTCAGTTCCTCTAGGTTTCGGGGGGCGCTGCCTCGAATTTTCAGCGAAGATTCTCACCGCCGTTCGATCGGTAGGTTGTCGAAATACTCCGACGTCCCGGGAAACGAAACGACGAACGACCGACCGACCGAGAGGTGCCAATGATGACGAGCGCGGCGAGAAATACGATAGAGTCAGACCCATCTGGTGCGACAACGTAGTCTGTACTTCCCGATACGGTAACGCCAACGGGAGATGGCTGGATGATGATAAGGAGTCTCTCGTCTCATTTCATTTCATAGACGAGTAGAGGAACGGAAAAGATGAGTGGGGTCGACCGAGCAGGCGGTCGCTCGCGCGGTGCTCCGAGTCGTCGCCTTTTTTTTCCTTGACAATGTGATGTGTGTGACGACATCGAAGCAAAGAGTGCGGCTCCATCAGTGCGGCCCCGCTGACGAACCTCTTGGGGAGAAATCGGCGTCGAGTCATAGGAAATTCTGATTCTCCGTCTGTTACGATTCGCACGATTTCCCGGAAAAAATTGACGCATACAGCACTGACGTACAAATCGAAACTGTTTGCCAACAGTGTATGAAAAAGAGACGAGTGCAGGTACGGGGCACGGACCAGTCACGCCTTATTAATTACGTAATTAGGCACTTTTTGCTCGGGGCCAATATCAGGGCTATAAGCGTGATGATGACGACGACGGCGGCGGCGCTGGCGACGACGACAAAGCTCCGTTCTCCCCTCGCACTCGCCATTTCCTTCTAAACCCTTCTCGGCGCAACCAACGGGAGACGGCTCCTACTCTAAAAACATAACACCGCTTCGGAAGACCGAAGTCGTTGAATTCAACAAAAATCTCTCTTCGAACCGGCCGAACACAGGGCGAACACGTTTTTACGGCCGTCACCCTATATCCTTCCCTGCTGCTGCTGCCGCTGGTGGTGGTGGTGTTAGACCTCTTCCTATTCCTAGCCGGACTCGTCTTTGTCGTCGGCGTCGTGGTATTCTCCACAACAAGTGAAACTTCTTTCGGGTCTCCGGCGACGTCATCTCTCGGAGAAATGTTTCGCGGAAGTATCAGAGCGAGCCTCGCCGACTCCGGTCCTCCGTCAAAATATTTATTATTTCTTTTATTGTGTGAATTCATCCAGGCATCGGAGCAACATGCGGCT